GGTTTACTTCAGTCTAAGACAATTTTTATTAACAGATCACTGGGAGACGTATTAGGTATTTTGTATTATCATAAATAAATATATTGTAATTGTATTTAGGTACAACTGTTCACATGGAAACTCCAGAAGCTGTTAATGATGATACTAATCTTGGAGTTTGTGCACAGAATGCACTCAAGAAACAGCACAATGAAATTAAAAATCTACTTGCAATATCCGAGCCTATTTTTCGTAATATAGCTGGAGCTTGTACATCAGCCACAATAATTCATTCAACAGAATATGATAAGATTTTTGATGACAAGACAGGCCAGTCATTATTGGAGAGAGCAGATAATTTTATTAACTGTATAATGTCAGTAGTTAAAGTTTGTCCTGACCAGCTTGAGGTGTTTCTAAATATTGTAGTGAACAAGGGAAACATTGCTTTTGAGAGGATAGCTAAACTTATGTCTCAGTCATGTAAGTTTGTTGTATGATTATAATTGGTTTATTAAAATTATCTTGTATAGTTAACAATGAAGTTCCTGAGCACGCTTGCATAAAATTGACTGGCATACAGAAAAACTAATTTTATTTTTACATGCAAATTTTTTTGATTTTGTACTTTAGCTATAGCGTACTATGTTAATATACATTATATGTATGGTTTTCTTTTATATAGACATAATTATTTTTATAATTTTTATAATAATTATTATTTGAGATATGAATAATTTGACATATAACATAACAACCTTTAAACTAAAAATTTTGCATAGCCAGACTCCACCCTCTTTTCGTCTTGGAAAGTGAAAGTGAAATTAAAGTTGCATGACATAATACAATTGTACCTGGAAATTGAATGAGCAAAAAATTAAAAATTATTATTGTATACCAATTATTGTGTGCTAATTATCTTTATTAAAATGTGACACATGTCATTTGGAAGTAGAATGTTATTTGTTTTTGCAAAAAAATTAAATTTTGAATAAACTCATATTTTCTACACAACATATGTACATGTGCATCAAAAAATATAAAAGTGGTGAACTGAATTCTCTCTTTTGATGAAATTTGGCCAAAGCCTGTGTATTAGCTATAATTATTGTAGTATACAGCATTATAGTTTTGTCCAAATTTTGAGCCATTTTTAAAAGTTATAAAAAATAAAGTTTAATCAGAGTCAGCTCAAAATTTCTACACAACACAAAAAAACATGCATATGTATCAGAAAAATTATAAAAATTATGAATTCTCCCCAAGTCATTTTTAATGCTATATATAGCCCATGGTTTAATAATATGCATGCAGTAATTTATATTAATTTTGATAATACTCTCTTGCACATGTAATGCACTTTGTTTCACTTCCTTAACTTCACACTTGTATGTACATTTAGTGTATGTGACTCTCACCAATACTTGTAGCTGGTACAAACCTCATAAGTACTTGTACATACTGCACAGCATTAAGCCCTCAATTAGCTCAATGTCAAGATATTCGGGACATTTTAGCATTAGCTAGTGACAAAAGTCACTTGATGACATTGGTATACTGGAGTTTCTTGTTAATGAGCTCATTATAGAGGAAGCCAAGCCAGTTATTGAGAAATATAAGGGGGCTGTTAAAGAGTTAAAAATACAGGTTTTACAATTTTTAGAAAAAGAACTTTTAAAAACTTCACTAAAAGAGTTTGTTACAATTATTGTTGATAAAGATACTAGCTATTCCCTATTTAATGATGTACAGAGACTGTCATCAGCTGTATTACCCTATGGTATTAAATTGAATGTCACTAGAAGTATGTGGAAGTATATGGAAGTAGAAAGTAGAGATACCACATTATTACCTGCAGGTACATCAATACTATTAATATGATACATAATGTAACTATTGAGTACAGGAACAACAGAAAAGGAAGAGAATCAGGTTATGTTGCTACAGGAGAAAGTTGAAAGTATTCAAAAGCAACTGGAGGAAGAAAAGGAGGTTTATGAACAAGCTATGAAGAAATATGAAGAAGAAATACTTCAACAGAAAGAACAACTCATTCAAAAAGAAAACACAATACCAATACTACAAAACAAGTTAAATGAAGAGATACAAAAATCCTCCAGTTTAATGAAAGAGAAAGGAGTTAATCAAAAAGAGAAAGAGGAACTACAAATAACGATTGATGATCTTCAACAAGAGTTAGACGAACTACAGCAAGTCAAAGATCACAAGGAAGTATCAGTTCAGTGTGACTACACTATCACTCAGTTAGGTATGTCTGTGTGGCACATGCCTGTAGTGTACATGTATAGTGTTTCAATAATTTTTAAGAAACGCATGATTTAGTAATCATTTATCAAATACACCTCTTCTTA